AAAGCAATTATTACAAAAGAACATATAATGACTTTTGCATCTAAGATGATTACTCCCGGTTCCACCTATTCATCTTCTAATGAGTGGGTGTCTATTAGGACTAGATGGGCAATACCGATTTCAGCTGTGCAGGGATATCTAAACAGTTAAAACATGACAATAGAATCCAACATATGTTTTTAATGCTTACCTCTGTATCACTCAAATTATGAATGTACAGCATTTTCCTTATCTAAACCTATTGAAATGTAAAAACATGTACCATTACTGATGTACTATGTATTATCAGGCAAGTGGTCATAAAACAGGGGTAACAATGTTCTAATACCGAACAGTGGATCCTTTTACAAATGTTTTGTTAAATGACACCTTAGGTCTCCAATTGTCACAGGAGTATTGACTGAACTACAGTGAATTTGTGATGCATTAACTTGGGTTTATTCCCAGAGTATTATACAGCCGCAATACTGATGCTCAAATCTGCAATCTAGCAATTCATCTTTTATGAGAACCTTTATCAGAAACCTTCAGAAAATCTTTTCTGAAATACCCTTTGATATTCTCTGTTTAATATCTATTACTGCTGTTGCTTGTTCAACTAACTCTAAGTTAAGCAAGACCTGTCTTTTGTAAACCTTTGCTGAATATCCCTTGGAACACACTTTTCATACTGATCATCGTCTAGTTCTAATTCTCTTTTCCATAACATTACACATAATACAGGTAAGACTTATGAGTCCACGCTTGCTTTGGTTCACAGTTTTGTCTAATTCATTATTTAGTTTCACATAATTGCATCAGAAAGGCCAGCCCCCAGGTGAGTAAGTGGGTACCATTATAAAATAATGGCCTCTGGCTTTCTCCAGAGATGCAGTTTCTATTAATATGTCAAAGAACTCCAGGAGGACAAGAGCATGAGTACACACTTCCCACAAAGAAGGGTTCCAAGCCAGATCCTGTCTTGTTGATCTGCTCCGACATTATGCAAAAAAATCCCAGGATTTGTTCTGATTCACCTATTAACAAGATGTCCACCATGTCATCTTAAGATCATGTTTCCTCAAAAACAAGCTGACCACCAACCATTGGCTGTTTATTTCATTTCATACAACAAGGATGACTGAAGTTTAGAAGTCAAGAAAACAGGAGTAAGAGTTCCAGCCAGGACATTATGGCTGAGAATGACTGATCACAATGGGTGGTGTGTCTGGTTTGACAGAAGGCATCAAGCCAAGTGCTTAATCAGCTCCTCCACATGCTGGCTAACATCACAGGACTGCAACCTTGTAGATCGATTACAGGTTACGAGACCTTGTAAATACCTTGTCATCTGGAAACTTATTACAGACAGAAACCAAACTTGTTTGCTACTGATCATATAGTTTAACCTAGAAAGAATGTATCTGTTTTTAACTGCTCTGCACTTTAACTATGGCAGTCGAACCACAGACTGCTGTACTGATCCTCACTTCCGCAGGAGAGTCCCAGAGAGCACGAGCTATAAAGAGGTGAAGAAGCTACCTATGAAAAGGACTTTCATTTCTATGTTGTGATATGAAGGTACTTATATTGACACATGCTTCTCTTCTAGACAGTGTACGTAAGCAATGAGAAATGATAGTTAAAATGGTTAAATTTAATACTCCATCCATCCATCTGTTTTCTAACTGCTTTATCCAATACAGGGTTGCAGGGTCGCCAGAACCTATCCTGAGGAAGGCAGGGTATACCCTGGATTGGACGCCAGTCCATCTCAGGGCACACGCAGCCACAAACACACTCACACCAGGGACAATCTTCCCAGAAGCCAGTTAACTTACCAGTTTGTCTTTGGACTGCGGGAGGAAATCACTGTAACCTAAGAAAGTCTTCAAACAACTTCTCCCAGTATGTCGACTGCCGAGCCCCTAACAAAAGAACCCTGGATTTGTGCTACGGCTCAATCAGAGGGGTGTACAAGGCTACTGTGAAACCTCTGCTTGGCTCATCCAACCGCAACACCATTCACTTGATGCCAACCTACAGAACAGCACTGAAGAGAGAGACAGCACTCATGCAGCCAGTAGAGGTCTGATCAGATGACAGTACACAGCGTCTGCAGGGCTGTTTTCACCACGCAGAGTCTTCTGTCTTTTTAGAATCTCGAAAATTTAGATGAACTCACAGTGGTATGTGGTTACATGTCTTTCTGCCAAAAAACTGAGATTCCTATGACACCTGTGAAAGTTCAAATAATTAACCTGGGGTAAACAAATCACTGAAGAGCCTACTTGTGTTTCAAGCACATTGCTTCACAACAGCGTAATGAGTCTGTTAAGAGGGAAATCAGATCCGAACTTAGAGCAGAAATTAGAAAAGCACAAATGCAAGGAAAGATATTGAAGGCAAACTCAGTTCTACTAATGGGGCTGAAGGACTAAGGTAATATTTCTAAAAACATAGTAAATATTTATGGTTTTAACACTAGCTAAGATCTGGATGATGAACAAAATAGTTTTTACTTTAGATCTGACAAGCATGGCTTTAGTGGAGAAATCAGGGAATTTACAGAGACACTGCTTCCACCATAGCTTGAATTTGACACATAATATTTCAGAATTTGACAGTTTCAAGAAAACAAAACTCAGGAAAAGTCTCAGACATTCTAACATCAGTTTGCAGGTACTGAAGTCATGCACTGAGCAGCTCAGTACTACTTTTCACTATATTTTCAAAATATTTGTGAATCAAAAGCACCCAAATCTGGAAAACAGGCTCTGAACCTTTCAGTTTGGGCTTGGTCACACTGTGAATACTAACAAAGGCTGGAACTTGTCCTAGATTGTTTGGATGAATGGAGGAATATTAATCTTGACTGCCGTCCAACACAAGTAGACTATGAAAGTGGGGGAAAAGCTTAGAATTAAAGCAGGATACAGTATTTGATAACAGTCACTCATCTGATAATCAAACTGTAATCCTGTAATCAAACCAGAAACAATGACACAATGAATGGTGTTTTCTGCATGTGTGTGGAGGTGGTTACTGTATATACTGGTGCCAGTCCTTGGAACAAGTACAATAATTCAAGAAAGAACTTTAAGGACACTAAAGGAAACATGAAAAAACGAACTGTTTTTTTTTTATTCCAGAAAACAGTGGAGCACTATGTTCTGTATTCTTACATCTAAACTGGCTTGACCGTCTTTACAACGCATTGAAATCCGTCGCTCCTTTACTGGAAAGCATAGCGAGTTCTGTCACTGTACTTTGCCACCATTAACAGCTGGTGAGAAGAGTTTCAATGAACTTTTTTGCACAGGACATCTCTGCAATCAACCTGCTACATCTGGGTTACAGAACACTACGTGATTGCTACATTTTATTTAAAAATGCGGTTCTATATTTTCAGCTAGTAGCAACAAGAGTTGTGTAGAGTAGGTGCAGCTTTTTTGCCTGTACGTTTAAATGTAAACTCTGCTTTGTTGATACTATTTGCCCTGCAGGAGTTAAACAAGCAGAACTGCACAATGCAGTAGTTGTAAGTGCAGTAAGGACTGGAAGTTTATGGGTTTCTAAATCTGTAATCTCAGATGCAATCCTATTTTTAGTGGCTTAGCGAATACTTGACATTTTTCTTCCCAACGGAAGCACCACCATCGCGGGTGCGGAACTGCGTGTCCATAGAAACGTGTAGCGAGCAGAGCCGTGTGTTTCTGAGGCCTACAAACTGAATGAAGCGGGCCGCCGTTTGTCACCGACAACGAAATAATGTGGCCGTTTTACAAACACGCAGCCAGTGCTGGCCGGTTTCCGCACTGCGCCGCCAAAACTCAAACGAAAAGGGCAGGAAAAAAAAAAAGTTTTGCGTTTCCGCGGTCAAACGATGGCCGTGCAGTAGAGGTTAGGTCGCTTTGACTTCGCTTAACGGTGCACCTTGGGTTGGTGTTACGTGAAGGACAATCTTCAATTTCCATTCAGTGCTGTCTGTAGCCGTGTGTGCTTTACAACCTGCACCCATCCCCCCCAGCACAACGGGATCACATGACCAGCTGGGGCTGCTGGAAACTAGGGGAAAGGTTACAGAGCCGACGCTACTACGCAACTGAGAAACCTGCAATTTTATCACCAGAATAAAAAAAGGCATCGTCCTCCTAAAAGCTCTGAATTATTGCCGTGCAGACAGCGAGCTCTGCATTAGCAAGGTAATAACAAGCTTATGCGTAAATGCTGATTTAATGCTGTGTTAATCACATTGTTGTTCGGCAATTCTAAAATACAAGCCTACAGTATTAAAAATCATAGAAACTAGAAACACATCAGCGCAAGGCCCCTATATGATTGCATACGATATCTTGGCATAGACAACTTAATTCACCTTATATAAATATATGCACCCCCTTAAACCCCCTTGGTCGTTTATCTGTCTTGATAAGCAAAATCATAATCATTCCCAGCCTGTACCTGAAGGGCTTAATCGAGTGTATATCTGCCTGTAAACTGCGAGTTTTAAGACCTGAGAAAATCGGGAAGATGTATCTGAAACTTTCACTGCAGATTAAGCAAAACGAGTCCCCAGAACCTTTCTTCTCTCTAAGATGCGTAGCATTCAACGCGTTTTTATATCATTCCAACGCTGTCTGGATGATCTGAATTATGTAGGTGTAATAATAATAATAATAATAATAATAATACTTCACACACTACAAAAAAATGGTCACGTTGTGACTTCAGACGTTAAGTGAATAGCTTGAACCCTCGCCAATGTTGCTGAGGTACAGTAGGTCCTTTCCGGGCGCATTCTGGATACACTTCAAAAGCCAGTCTGTTTAAACACACACACAGATTATTTCTGTTTCAAGTACGAGAGAAAATGGAAGCAGCACACCAGGCAGTAGGTGACCTCTCTTGGGACACTACACACTCAGACCCAGACGCACGGGATACGGTATCATCCCTTCTCCTGTAAGAGAATGAGCCGCCTGTGGCCCCCTGTTCACTCGCGCAGGTGTAAATGAACCGGTGCCGTGGGCTCCCTTGATTTTTCGCAACGCCCAGGCTCGACCCGCAGACGCAGTTCACCACCAGCCCCGGTACTGGGGAAACTCGCTTAGTCACAACCTAGAGGATCGGACTGTGTGCGAGCCGTGCAAATAAAACGTAAACAGGGGAATAACGCGTTTATTTTCCCCCCTCAACTTTCAAATCACTTTCACTTTTGTAGCGTTGCAGTGTGCAAAGTGAATCAACTATTGCCTCCTGAAGGCTGTATATGCATAAGTAGCGTTCATCAGCTGTACGCAACTCACTCTAGACTCTTTTTTTGTTACATGTAGCTAGATCATATGCCGCTATTTGTGCCAAAGGTCATTACCATTACCAGCAGCCATATTTTCCCCCTTCTAGCACAGACAGCCCGCTATTCTCTATACTAAGGAACAGATGAAGACGTCAGTGTCTTACCTGCCTTCTGTCTGTACAGTGGAGAACAGCCCGATCTCCTCCTCTTCGGCGGATTAAAAACTTCTGCGTTGTCTTAACAGTGAGCAGTAAGCTAATGAATGGGCGTGCAGTGACAGTGTAAAATACCGACCCCCCACCCCATGAAAACGTCACATCTTCATATAATTTATGCAAAATGAACTCGACCACTTTTTTTTTTTCGTGTTGTGGAGGAGATTGAGGAAACTGCGTGTACATAAAGCCTTTGCCCTCCCCCGCCTTGTTATTGAGCTTTTCCTCGTATTGCCGACCGCCGCCGCCGGGTGTAGTTTTGACCCCACGGTCGTGAGACGGGGGTTTGCGGCTCTTTTCTTTCAAAGAAAACTCGTACCGTTTTTCACTTAGCCGTCCTTCACCCGATGATAACGCAGCATCAGCCATGAAAGGAGAGTTGGTCGAAAAATAAGATGACTTCTAAAATTTAAAACTTGGCTGAAAGCTTTGTAAAACCTGATTTGTGTGGCGCGGTAGAGATGACTTTCAAGCTACTCATATAGATTGCTTAGAAGCTGCCCAGATTATTGAACCGGAATAGGTAAATAACCCTATTTGGATACAGAGGTTACCTAAATCTAAAAAAAAAAAAAACATATATTACCGGTTTCTTATCTTCGGCGTGAACCCATCTGTTAATTTAATGGGAACAAATCTCCATTTTCACAAAGTCTGATTAAAAGTCACGTAAGGGATGTTACATCTTGAATTGCCGCAAGAATAATGACATTAATGCCTGGTGATGTTTATATATAAACATGCATGAGATACCGTTACCCACAACCTCTAAAGAAGGATCTGGTCCTCCACAGCAGCTTCTTGGGAATCGTGAGTCGATAGAGCAGGCAGTTATGGCCTCTATAAACTGATAATAATAATAAAATAATAATAATAATACATTTATCTGTGTGTGTGGGGAGCCGCTTCGTCTTTGTATATACAGTCGACTCGCAATTTACACGGGGGTTATCTTTTTTTTAGTATCTCGTAAAGGCAAATTGTACCCTATAACCCTTATATCTCCCCCCTCCTTCCGCAAATAAAAGTGCCTTAAATAAAAAACCTTAGATAAAAGTAAATGAGACGAATGTATAGACTATCTCTCGTAGGCGTGCTTGACGATGTTTTCAGGGAATAAAGTATTTTTTTCCAATATTTTGAGGAGCCGACCGCACAAGGCTGCGACCGCGTATCTTGAGAGCGCATTAGTTGCGAGTCAGGAGGAAGTGGATCGTGTTCATGGTGCGCTCCTTCTTGGAATTACTTTCTTACCCGATAACTAGAAACCACTTAATTATTAAACCGTGATAAATATCATGGCAACATTCCACTGGATTCCATATATTAAATTCTGTTAATCACCAGTTTTCCAGTGGTTTCAAAGTTCCTGATTTTCTCAGATACTAATACAGGCAGTTCATTTTCTGAGCATTACATCCGAATTTATCATTCATTTGCAATGACCTGCATAAGTCTGTTATGAGAGTGCAGGGTTATCCATAGGCTGTCAAGGAATATCCATCAATCCATGCATCTTCGTCTAGATACAGGGTCAAGGAGGAGACAAAGCCTAACCTGGGAAGCAACTGTGGCAGCATAGGGTTCACCCTGACTGGGATGCCAGTCCACTGCAGGCCACACACAGACACAGACACACAACATGCACAAACTCACACAATGACCTGGTCTTGTGGGCCGCAGCTTCCCTTGCGCTGTGCTGTCTCGGGGGTGTCATGGGAAGAGGAGAGACCGCTCCCTGTTCGGGCTCAATTTCGGCCAGCAGCCGTGTCACCCTGCTGCTCACAACCGGCAGCCCACTGGAGCTCAGCAGGTGTGAGCCTGGCCAGTACCTGGATGCGAGAAGAGGTGTTGTGAGGCCAGCAGGGGGCGCTCACCCTGCGGCATGTGTGGGTCCTAATGCCCCAGTATACATGGGGACACTATACTGTAAAAAGGAGCTGTCCTTCAGATGAGACGTAAAACCGAGGTCCTGACTTTCTGTGGTCATTAAAAATCCCAGGGCGTTTCTCGAAAAAGAGTAGGGGTGTCACCCCAGCTTCCTGGCCAAATTTCCCATTGGTCTTTACCACTCAAGGCTTCTTAATGATCCCCATCAATGAATTGGCTTCATCACTCTGTTCTCCTCCCCACTAATGTCTTGTGTTTTTGGAGTGTACTGGCGCACTATGGCTGCCGTCGCATCATCCAGGTGGGGCTGCACACTGGTGGTGGTGGAGGGGAGTCCCCATTACCTGTAAAGTGGAGCGTCCAGAAAAACGCTATGTAAGTGTAAGGAATTATTTTTTTTTTTATCTCTTTGGTTAATTCACTTCAAGAAGGTTTAGTGAATTTTATTTAAGTTTGTGTCATTTGAGAGCTGTGAGTGTGCTGACTTTAAGGTGTCAGGGAACCTATCACTTCTTTATTTGGTTTACTGCTAAGCCACTCTACCCAAATTCTGGTTAAAAAACTCAGCCACCCCTCACACCTCCATGCGTCAGTACCCTGGGTGTGGCAATTCCTTGGAGGGTCAATGTGTTCTTAAATTGTTACAAATTGTTCCCTGCCTCACCTGAAGCTGAGAACTTTGGTGTATACATCGACACAAACACACAGTCCTGGCCACCAATACATTTTAATCACAGCCTGTTCTTCCTTCCACGGTATGCATTCTGTGACGCCACCACCTTCATTTGTCCCTTTTGTTAAATATCACGATGTGCTCGTTGGATTCGATTTCCCAATGTTCTTGATTGTAATCACTTTGTAGATTTGTGGAAGGCCACCATTTAAGTTTTGAAGATTTTCATTTGCTATTTTACTTTCTGAACGTGTTATATAAATGTTTTGGTCAGAGAATAACTACTGTCAAGGTTGCAGTAGTTGCAGCGAATTGTAGTGGAGAGTTAATCCCAAGGTGTGTGATGGATTTAGAACAAACACAGTAGTAAAGCGAATGAGGACCCTGTTGGCTGGGATCAATGCAATCAAAGATGTTCAATATAGCAGGAAGACAGCATTAATCTTGGAAGGGAATATTAGACAAAGTATACCAGATATGTCAAATGCGTTTATGTATAAATGTTTCTTTATATTCGCTCATACAAGCATTTTGGTACTACAACATATATACACGGGGGTATGGGAATTAGATTCCCGTTTGACATCGGAACATGTAAGGTGTTATCACGACAGAGCTTTGTATTGAATTTAAATTTCTAGTGAAGCAGAAAAACAAGACTATTATATTTTAATGAACACATCATTAAATACACTGCATGCGTTGTTAATAAACACCGAGTGCTCAGCGCCAAGTGTTGGGATACATTCAATATTTTTTTTATTTCCATCTCTGAGGTTTAGAACGCAAGTTTGCAGGCTGACCTTGCCAAGATGGCGCCAAACCACAGCCCTTTGAAAGACGGAAGTTCAGCAGCGGGCTGCTTCCGGACACGTTGTTGCATCAGATTCAGGCTTCAGAGATTTCATAGGATCGAAATGGCAGCAAGTGGGGATCAGGGTGAGTTCTGGTATTGTTATTAATTTGGACGAGGTAGCGGTCAGACGGGTGTGCTGTAGCCCTTTGCAGGAAATACCACAGGGAACCATGTGTAAAGGGTTGATTTTCAAATCGAAAACACTTTACATTCGCTACACCTCTCTTCTGGGTTTCATTTTTAATGCACGTTAGGCAGTTCTAGATAGGCTATACGTCTTTTTGTTAAAATACGATTATTTTCCAAACCAAGTGATTTTTTTTTACTAAGCCATGCGTGGTTCTGTATTCGCAAGTAGTGCTACTCCACTTCATACCGACTCTCTCTTTAAGTTCAACCGCTTTTCCTGTCCTGGCATCCTTAGTGACATATGTTATCGTATTGACTCAGTGCGTCTTGCACTACCAGTTGCGTTGTACTGCCATCGCTTGAGCCGACACGTTATTTATGATAGAGGCTTCAAAGTTGTCAGAAGCAAAAAAAGGTGAAGAACCTTTAGTCGTGGGGGCAATTGTGTGTTTTAGCGTTAAATGAGAAAGGATTAAACTGGGAAACGAGAGATTTTCAAATAACAAATCAATGATTTTGCTTATTGTCGTCCAGTATTCAGAATATAATCATAATAATAATAATAGTAATAATCTTCATTCATTTATCCATCCGTTTATTTTCTAATCGCTTCATTCAACTCAGGGTTGAGGGAGTGTCAGAGCGAGCAGTGGGCGCAAGGCAGGGTACACCCTGGACAGGACGCCAGTCCATCACAGGACAAAATACACAAGTACAGGCACATACACTCACACCGGATTCGGTTTTCTCAGATGCCAACTAAACCCACATACCAGCATGTCTTTGGACTGTGAGAGGAAACTGAACCACCCAGAGGAAGCCCACCAGATTATGAGGAATCATACAAACTCCACACTGATAGCACCCCAGGAATTGAACCCAGGGCCCCAGTGCTGTGAGGCAGTATTGCTAACTACTGCACCACCATGCCACCAAGTAGTAATCATCATGATCATCATCATCTTCCCCACCAGCACAATAAATTAACACTACATTACCCAATCAGGACCCATATCTCAAAGGACTGCATTGTGTCGTAAATACTGCAGTTATCACGGTAGATCGTTTAGGACGCATGCTTGGGTCTCTGAAGACGATTTGTGTGCCCTTTGCTGCTGGAGGGACTACACCTGGCAATCCAAACAGAAGCAGAAACAAAGAATCATCATCACCCATTAGTACCCTGAAAGCCGTGAGCAGTGTGTTGAAGGAGAAGGAGACCTCCAGCAGTTTTAAAACTGTGCTGTGCTGCGGCAGTATGAAGTAACCTGTCGTAGGTGTCTGCCCCTTTAGAAGCAGGACTGCGGCGCCTCAAGCCTCTCTGGTGTGTGTGTGTGTGCCCTTGTGTCTTGCAGCGTTTGACTATGGTTTCTTGCTGCGCATAAGCGAGGAGTCCTCCAGGGTGGCGGCCCTGAACGAGTACCTCAGCACCCGCAGTTACCTCGGGGGGTTTGTCTTTTCGCGAGCCGATGCCGAAGCCTTCGCGCTTCTCCGCCGGCCGCCGGCCGAGCCGCTCTCCCACGCTCTGAGGTGGTACAGGCACGTGGCGGCGCTCCTGCGGGACAGCTGCAGTGAGTACGGCCAGGGGAGCCCCCTTCCCTCCCTGCCTCCTCAGAACCCGGCCCCAGGGCTGTGCCTGCACGTCCCCTCGCTCTGGGAATCCCGATCAAAACCACTCCTAGACCGGTAATCAATCCTGTTCATGCCCTCCGGGACTCGTCCTGAGCAGGGTTCAGCTCGGGCAGTCTCTGTCTTATTTCGTAGCCCCCAGTTCCTTAGTAGATGTTACTGGTCATGGCAAAGCTGCAGACATCATAATTCCTGTCCAGGAGTCTCTGTTCGGCTGAGCAGTGTCTCAGGTTCTGGTCTTCCAAATGTGAGCTGCAGTATTTATTACTCGTACTGAAGATTTGAGGTTCATTTTAATCTGAGAGGCAGAGGATGCAGGATTGATTTTTTTTTTTGGGGGGGGGACATTTCTCCTTTTTTTCTCTTTGTCATATGTGCGCACTGCCAAATTGGCATTTTTCGGCAGCAGTGTGTGATCTTCAGTTGTGCTGCCATGTTGAGTTATTTTTGTTCTATTTTCTGTTTTTGGTCCTGCTGTTTTCTTTGCTCAATTTCTAAAGCACTGAAATATTTTAGGGAAACTGGACATGTCATGTGGTTGCCCTAGTTAAAACACAGCCCTGCCTCAGATATCTTGATCTAGGGAAAACCATGACTACAGTACAATTGCATATGACTTTAAATGAACTTATTTAACTCCAGCTGTGTAGCTCTATGGAAGATGACTTAATTCATGCAATATCACATTAGGGTATACTCTTTTAAATACCGGCCTCTAGCTTAATTTTGTTAAGTGTTACAAGCAAAACAAGACTGGACCCAATCACTACCGGGGTAGAGGACCTCTAAGGAAAACCCGGGTCCTGCCGATGCAGAATTTCCAAACCAGTGCCGTAGGATGTTGACAACTATGCTATAAAAGATGCTGTCCTTCAGATGAGATGTTAAACCTAAATCCTTACCTCTTGGCATAGTTTGTAAGTGTAGGAATGGGGTGTTCACCACATTCAGATCTACACAGCTGCCACAGTCGAGCTGATTTCAAGTTCCCTCTGAATGAAGCAGAAGTAAAACCTGACCGTAGCAGTGGTTAGGATTCTGGACTCCTGAACACAGACGCGGACACTGCTGTGGTAGCATTGAGCAAGATCCTTTATCCACATTGTTCCAGCAAACCCAGCTGTAGACATTGTTACCAAAAGTGCAGTGCAGAAACAGCAGGCAATTGCCGTCTTTCCAGTTGCTTTGCATGAAAGCATCATGCAAATCAAATAACGAAGGGTTACAGGGGAGAGGAGGGCACGCACCCCTCTCGATGATTTGGTTCATAGTGAGTTATTGTCATCCAGCTGAGGCTCCCGGTCCGAGTTCAGAATGCACTTCCCTGTAGTTTGACCAGTTCCAGATCAGCATTATCTTTTTTAGTAACGTGGTGACCAGAGTTGTGCTCAGTATTATAAATGGGTTCTAACTAGAGGATTACGCAATTTTAGCATTCCTTGATTTAAATCGCACTGTGTTAAATTCCCACACTGTCTAAACTCTAGAGGGGTCCTGTCACTGTAGACCTTTTACGTCTTCTTCAAACGTGCTATTTGCCAGGTATTGCCCAGTCAAGAATCGATCTTAATTCATGACAAAAACTAAAACCTTGAATTTCCTTTGTCACTTCTTCAGCGTTTACTATTCCTCTCTTTTGGAAGGATACACTGTAGTGCAAACTAAGGATGCTTGAATCTTCTGACATTTGCTGAGTGGATTCTGTTCATTCAAAAGTGGCCGATGCTGGCCTCTGAGTTACTACAGAATGTCAGTGGTCACTGAATGTCCTGTGTCTGTTGTTTACAGTGTTATTTGGATTTGCTGTCCTACAAAACAGACTCACAATAAAGAAGAGAGTCAGCTGTGACTACTTCAGGAGCTGATGAAACTTCTTGTGTTTTCCAGCAAAGGGGAAAAGAGTTCAGCCTCCATGGACTCCACCCAAAGGAACAGAGCCACCAAAACTGTGCCTGTACAACAGCCTGACGCGCAGGAAGGTGAGAGTCACAGCCTTTCTGCAGGATGAGGACATCCCACAGCCTCCGCTACATCCACAGAGTAGGCTCAGAGTACAGTGGAACACACAGGGGCTCAGAGTGGAGACCAGGCAGCTGAGGAACTTCTCCAGCTCTGCAGACTCACCCCCTTGGTTTGTGCTGCTGGGCTGACAGCACGCCAGTCAGATTATAGCCCATGTTTTATGAGTTTAAGAAAAAATCCTTACATTTCCTGAAAATAACAAAGTAGTCCATGCAATATACAAATACCGTACAGCCTTTATTGGCTCTATAGTAAATATTCAGGTTTTTTTTTTGTTCTCTTTAGAATCAGTGTGGAGGTTTTTTTGTTTTCAGGGAACATGTCGTATTTTTATTAGCACTATCGTGATTGTTAATTTGAACTAAAACAGTCTCTTGTGCAGAGCAGCTGTGCGTTTCCAAGCCCGGATGAGGTCTTTCAGTAGCCCTGTGTCATTGTGGTTCACGCCGTGTTGTTTTTCAGGAGGAGTTTGTTCCCCAGAATGGGAACAAGGTGCTGTGGTATTGCTGTGGACCCACTGTCTATGATGCTTCCCACATGGGCCATGCCAGGTAGTGTCATGGAGGAAGACTGTGCTCTTTCCTCTGTTATACTGTTAAGACATTACTCTTTAGAACTGTTTGGAATGCACTGCTATGTCGTGAGTTGTTACAGATGTTAATAATAGCCACATTCTAAAGCTGCATACTGATAAAGTGTGGCAAAAAAGATGTTGGCTGTTGTCGCCATGTTACCTGTGTGTTTCCAATGCGCTGCATAGTGATGTGATTTAATACATGCTGTATATGCAAAAGAAAATCACAACTGACTGTCAAATGGGCACCTTTTTTTGGGAATGTGGCTGAAATCATAATTGTGTTCAAAGGGATTGTGCCGTGCTCTCTGTAGCATGGATCGTTTTGAAGACAGTTCTCCAAATGGACACCTATAGATGTTGCATATAAATCCTGCAGAAAGAAAAAGTAATGTTAAAACTGCATGACAGCCTTGTACGTTAACGATAGCGTCTCTCTCTTTCTGTCTTTTATTTTAGATCCTACATCTCTTTTGACATCCTCAGACGAATTTTAATGAACTATTTCAAATACGATGTGTTCTACTGTATGAACATCACAGACATTGATGATAAGGTAGGACAGAGCTCCTCCAAAACATTAAACAAACAGAAGGATAATTTCAATGTGGAATCTGTCAGAAAAAAACAGTTGCAGTTTGATCCAGTGTGACCCCCACTTAATGTGAAACTGAGGTAGCTGCATGATTCAGGTGTCATTTTAAAATTAAAATTTTAAAGCTGTGCAAATTGAGCTTTACTGTAATTCTATGAAGGTTTCTTTATAATTGACTCAGTGACTCTGTGGATTTTTAACATATGTTTCATGTACTAAATTAAAGGTATAAAAGATCTGCCATGCAGACTAGAAGTAAGAAGGAGGAGTATAGTGTTGTTGAAGAGGCAGGGAGAACACTGAGTGGGTGACTTTTTTTTTGTGCACTGACCTGATGACTCGCTACGCAGATCATCAAGAGAGCCAGGCAGAACTACCTGCTTGAACAGTACATAGCCAAGAAACCAGCTCCTGCCCAGATACTGGAAGATGTGGTGACAGCAATGAAGGTGAGTTTGTATTTGTGCCGTCGCATAAGACATGCAGTGCCAGTATAGTCTGCCTAAAACCTCATAAACAAAGTTAGTCCATTTAGTCCATATTACCAGTGGTTCTGTTTAAGTCCTCCACAAATATAAATTCTGGTATCATGCCCGGTCTCGACATGGTGTTGAAATAAATATCTTTGGAGTTTTTAAATAGGTGATGGTCCTGTTGGTCCGCTGAGCTCCGCCTGGGAGAGGTGTTGTGTGTTCAGTTGAATTCCATGCAGAGGAACTGAGGGTTATGTACTCCTTCCTGGCAAACGCGTGTGGAAATGTTGGGAGCTCCCTGCTGACCTGCGTGTGCCCCATAGCCCTTCCAGGTGAAGCTGGCAGAGACCACAGACCCCGATAAGAAGCAGATGCTGCAGCGAATGGACACAGCAGTGAGCGAGGCGCTGGCTCCCCTGCAGGGGGCGGTACAGAGCGGAGCAGCGGTCACTCACAGCCAGGCTGAGGTACGTCTTTAAGGGGCAACGGCCACCTCACTCTAGAAATCATCCATAACAGCACAGATTTTGTAGGCGTAGATCCCCTAACTTGCAAGCGAAAACCCTTGGAAAGCAAAACGGCTGTGAGGCCCACACTCAGACTCCCAGGGAGTGAGAGCCCTGCAAGGGAGTGGGGCTACAGGAGCATCCCTTAATCCCTTCACCCCCCTCCAGCAGTGGAAGCTCTAGAAACGTGAACAATAAGTCATGTCTCTTGGTCTTTAGGGTCAAATCAAGTTAATCCAAATATAGTATAATAATTGCCATCATTATAGTTTAGCATTTTGTAAGAAGAGCTGAATGAATTTGTGAAACACCTTCAAGGGTTTTGTGGCTGAAGAAAATGAAGAGGATCTGATAGTCTCGTGTTTTTTTCCCGAAGGTTTTACTGGAAGAAGCCAAGGATCTGTTGTCTGATTGGTTGGATTCCCAGTTTGGCAGTCAGGTGACGGATAACTCCATCTTTTCCCTCCTGCCCAAGTACTGGGAAGGGGAGTACCACAAGGACATGGAAGCCCTGAATGTAAGAGCCTTTGCTGTAAAGCTTCTAATTGTAAAACTAGTCTAGTCTGTCATTTATAAGAACGTCTTTTAAAAATACACTGCCAGTAAAATGAAATGGAAGGTTATTGATACTTATTTGTATTGTGCTTTCTACCTGTGAATGTACTCTTCAGCAGTAGGCATCTTACACTGCAATATTATTATTTCTGCTACTGAATTATTCAGAGAGACTTAAATTTACACCCGTTTATGCAGTGTATAAGGGAAGGTGGATGTGTGTGCTGTGTGAGTACGAGCCTTAGGGATCCCCGCTGTCACCTGCCACTTCAGCAGCCCCTGTCTTCCCCAGGTCCTGCCCCCCGACGTGCTGACCAGGGTCAGCGAGTACGTGCCCGAGATTGTGGAGTTCGTGAAAAAGATTGTGGACAACGGCTACGGGTGAGCGAGAGGGACGGATTTTCATCCCGTCGGTTGTGATTGCACTTCCAGACACCGCGTGTTTGGAGTAGGAGGGGGGATCGCACTCTGAATAGTCTCGGATGTGACTGGTGCAGGGGGGTGCGTTTGCATTTTTAAGTTTCGGCTTCGCTACTTTTATATCTGACAAACTGTTCTTTTGTAGTCTGTGTCCTGTAATCGTGGTGAAATTCAGAAGATGTGCTTCTGTCCCTCTCCCCCTGCAGGTACGTCTCGAATGGCTCTGTGTATTTCGACACGGTGAAGTTCGACGCCAGTGAAAAGCACTCTTACGCCAAGCTGGTGCCGGAGGCAGTGGGGGACCAGAAGGCTCTGCAGGAGGGAGAGGGTAAGAGAGGAGAGACAGCGCACGGAACAGCGTGAAGCCCCCGGGCGGAACCCACAGAGCTGAAATCCCCCCTTACCTGTCCGCAGGAGACCTGAGCATCTCCGCGGACAGGCTGAGCGAGAAGAGGTCTCAGAACGACTTCGCCCTGTGGAAGGGCTCCAAACCTGGGGAGCCGTCCTGGGAGTCCCCCTGGGGAAAGGTGAAAGGGGTGTGGGGGAGGACCCCAGTGCCTGGGGGCGAACCCCCGGCGGGGTGCCCGCACTGTAAAACATAAAAGATCCACATGCTTTTTTTTTATGTCTTTTGACGTTCAGAAATATTGAGACAAGGCTCACAAATAGTCATGTCCTCCACCTGGGGGGTTTATTCGCTTCGGATCTTTGCAGAGTGCATCTTTCTGTGAATGTTCCAGTCTGTGCCAGGAAAATTTAAAAGAGCTGCGGCACCATGAGCTTTATACCTCGTGACACTGTAAAGTTTCTGGCATCCTGTCCAAAGTAATTTTCACTGCAGGGGCTTCTAGGTTTTTCTGTTGTCTTGGAAACCGGTATTTCATTCTTGCAAATATCCCAGGAAATCGCATTACTGAACACAGAAGTGACTCTCGTTGGTCTTTCTGAAAGGGACGGCCCGGTTGGCACATCGAGTGCTCCGCCATGGCCGGCTCGATTCTGGGAGAATCCATGGACATCCACGGGGGAGGGTTTGACCTCCGTTTCCCCCATCATGACAATGAGTTGGCGCAGTCTGAGGTAAGGCAGCCTTCCCTTGGAGGAGGTGGGCAATCCTCCTCCTGCAGTATCTCTGTAGGTTTTCTAGGCCTCTTCAAAGTGGCAGCACCTGAATAGCTCAGGGAGGCTGTTCAGTTAGTCTCATTAAGCCTGTAATGAGCTCATTGAGCTTTGTTAAGAGGCGAGTTGGAAAGAAAACCAGACACTGGCCCTACTGGACCAGGACTGCCCACCTCTGCTCTAGATCTAGGTATCTTATCCAGGTGTTGTAGTAAGCCAGAAAAGATTATGTGAGGTTATATCCGTTGGATTGAGATTGGGACACCTGAAGTGTTGTTTTGCTATCAGTCTAGTTGAGACAAGATCTTTCCTGTTTTTAGTGGGGGTTTTTTTCTGAATTCTGACAGAGGAATAGTTCTTTGACAAATCCACAGCAGTGTTACATATAATGGTTGACTTAACATATGACAAATGAATAAAAAGAGAAGGTGTACATGAGAACATTGAAACGCAGGTGCTGACGTTTTCAAATCTCTGTGCATGTGTAAAATGACATGAAGAGTTTCTGCATGTTAAAGACTTCATTGGCATGTCTCACAAACATTCCCTTCCCTTCCTTTAAATACGTGGGGAGATGAGATTATGCGATTGGCTGCAGAGGGCTGGGGTACAGTCTGGGGTGAGGTCATCGTCCAGATCCTTTGTTTCCACAGGCCTTCTTCGAGAATGACCACTGGGTTCGCTACTTTTTGCATACTGGCCACCTGACCATTGCAGGCTGCAAGATGTCCAAATCCCTGAAGAACTTCATCACTATCAAGGATGCTCTGGCCAAGCACACAGGTGACTCCTTAAGAGAGTTGTGTGCTCAGTGAGCCTGCTCCCCTGTGCATCTGTCTCCCAGAACTGCCTGGCTGCAGCTGGACCTGTATCAACTGCTGCTCCTTAACACACTTCTTTCAGCGCTGATCTCCAGTCTGTGTTTATGTGATAATTAGTTTTCCTTTCGTGATTTTTATTGTGATGTTAAAATGTAGCTTTTTAGCTTCTTTTTAAAATAGGTGTGGTCATTTACAGTATGTTATTGTTAGAAATGTGCCCAGTTTGGGATCAAACTGGTGTTAATCACACCTCATCAAGTAATCTGTGCAGTCAAATACAGTCATTGGTGGCGTCCTGTCCAGGGTGTGTGAGTGCCTGTGTGTGTGCCCTGGGCTGGACTGGCGTCCTGTCCAGGGTGTGTGAGTGCCTGTG